GCTATAGAGCGCTAGGAGTGGCCAGCGGGCCCCTCGATATGTCCAACACCCCCACTCTCCCCAGCGCTCTATAGGAATATAGGAGTGCTTTCGAGACTCCCATTTGTTCCTTCCTCTGGGTACCCGTGGGTAGAAGTACAAGTATAAGATTCTACCTGCTGATATGGACGCGGGTATGATATTTTAGCCTTTAGTGCTAAAAACACAAAAAAAATCTCCTCTATTCTATTGATAATATAACTTGTGGGTGCGGGTACCTATGGGTCTCTATCGTACCCAGTGAATGCGGATACAAAATCTTACCCGCGGGGTACAGCTGCAGGTATGAAATTTTATCCGATATACAATTTGTCACACACGGGTATTTACTCTACCTTCATCTTACCCGATCCACTGTCAGCCCTACAATGGGTGTGTTCCTATAGTGGGCTACTTCCCCAACAATAGCATCCCCACACTTGAAACGTTGTAAGTTTGAACCATTAACAAGTTTGAACATGCAGTTATCATGTTCTCAAATAGAAATTAGAATAACTGAGTATTAGCATCCGTCGTCGTCGGTAGCAATGGTTCTGAAAGATTGGTTCGAGTCTCTACTCTGACAGCAATGCAATCCGCATCTACTGTCTGCTTGGAATCACTGGATTGGAGATCTCTGCCCTTCGTATCATCCGCTTTACCCCACAACACGACGTACAAACCAACGATGATCGTAACTGCACCTAAGACGCTGCACAAGAGGGGGGGAAATCAGCGATATCACTGCCGATTGAACGGTCGATACTTGTCTAGTGACTATATATATATATAGTAGCGATACAAGGTGTTCAGACGCTATGCTGCATTATGCAAAGTGGAAGCAAGCATACCTTCCAACATGGAGCTGTTCATGCAGGAAGAGCGTGGATAATATTGCTGTAATCACAGCACTCAGCGGCGTAAAGATGTCGCTGTAGAGGGGTCCTTTCACGGCTATGCACCATGATTGGAGGAAAAAGTTGGCGCCAGACGCAAACACGCCCTACAAAAATTGTTCAACTTTTATCACTATGCAATGCAGTTCAAATTTCAAACCGATGTGTAGATGGTGGACGAGCGATCCGGGTGAGCTTACTCCATATAAGATGCAGGGGAACTCCCAGAACGATGTAAGCTTCCAGATCTCCAGGTAATTGGGCTCCAGGAAGAGCGCCATCGCCGCGCATTGCAAGGTCGCCAAGAAGCACATCCAGGTGGCAAGAGATAGAGGATCAAGGTACGATTTGCAGACCGGCACCTGAAACCATTCGTTAACTCAACTGCAATGATGATGCATGACCAGAATTTTAGACTTCACCTAGCTAGGTGAGCTTCTCCTAGTGTTTTAGCATTCAAAATTGAGTATAAATTTTCCCTACTAAATACCTCCTACTTGGATTCTCATATGTTATGACTAGTGGTAGTGTTTTATTACCACTTAAAAACACCACCATTTTAGCAGTGACGTGTCGAATGAATCTCCTCAAGATGGTCTTGTCATTATTGTAATCATCAGTTGTACCTGCAAGATGTACCAGATGGAGACGCAGATAGCATTTCCCACGAGGTAGATGCCTCCTTTGACCCAGTCGCTGTCGCTGGTCACCGAGAGAAGAGCCGCGCCAAGGAGCCCTGGGCCCTTGAAGAACGCCACGAATGCTGCTCCGGCGAGGCAGATGGCGGTGCCCACGATCTTGGCGACGCTCCTCAAGCTTCTGATATCCACCTTCTCTAGCCTGCGAGCCGGGTCCAAGGCGGGAGTAAGAATTTGGGCTGCTACGGGCGAGGCCTTGGGATGTTCCTTCTTTCAACAGAGCCAATTAGGCCCACAAAGCAAATAAGCCCATCAGTAAGAAATTGTTCTGGCCCAGCAGTCCAAAAAAACGCGAAATGGCAGGCCCAACTTTCCTCGAAAACAAAACAGAACAGAGAAAGGGCAAAACAAAGAAAGAGAACACTGTACCCGATGACGGCGGCGATGGCGAAGGTGATGCCGGGGGCGAGGTTGGTGGTGGCCCTGGCCATGGACGGCGAAGCCAGGTGGAGGCCCTGAAAGTAGAAGTATTGACCTGTGGCGCTGTCCCATATAATTCCCATTGAATCAGAAACCAGAGGTCGATGAAGAACTAGCTAGGAGTGAGCGCATGCTCATCTTTGCGTACTCACGTGGCTAGGGAGGCCGCGAAGAGGAGCGCGAAGCCCCGCGCGCCGACGGCCATGGGCCGCAGCGTGCACCCCCTGGTGGCGAGCGACGCGAGGAGGAGCGTGGCGGCGGCGATCCCCTGGCGGTAGGTGACGAAGAGGATGGGGCGCATGCCGAGCCCGTACGCCGTCTTGAGCGCCACGTCCACCAGCGCGTAGAACAGCTGCACCAGCACCATCCACACGCTCGGCCCGCACCGCTCCAGCCACGGGGCGCCGGCGCCTGCCATGGCGCGCGCGCGAGAGAGATCCGCGAGCACGCGTGGTGCCGGGGCAGGAAGAGACGTACGGTCAGAGATCAGGAGGCGCCTCTTCCTCGATCCGCCGCTTCGCCAGCTAAGTAGGAGCATCCATGTGCGCGCTCGCGGACAAACGAGCAGCTAAACAGCCGCCCGTGCTCTGATGAGTCAGCTGCGCCGTCACTCTTGCATTTGTTTACGGCCGATTGATTGTTTTCTCCTGTGGAGTTCCGTAGTCAAACCAAATCGTGGAGATAGAGAATTGACGGATATGCAAAATTAATCATGCATGTAATATTCTGCTGGATCTCATCATGAACTAGCTAGTTCATGCCGGTGTCGCATCTGAATTTGATACATCATCAATCGATTACAGGCAAACTCGGTCGATTTCTCTTCTTCTTCGTTGCCCCGACTCCCCGAGGCCCCCGATCACATCGCCGTCTTACAGGTAGCATCTCCAGTTCTCCACCACATGTTCTGTGAGCTGCGAACATACTATTCTATCCTACTGTATAATTGTATATCCACAGTCCTTGTCGCATTCAACACCTCATCAGCTTATTCATTTCTTTACTTCTTATGTAGCTCAAGGATGGCACGCAACACTTACATTTTCACAGCTACAATTACCTCCAGATATATAGCAACCGAAAAGAAATTCCTCTGTTCCCTCGGTCAGTTGCGTGCTTTGTGCACGCTCCCTGCCTGCCATGAGAGGTGCATGGAGAGTGTTCTCAAGGTCAAGCTGAGAGTGAGGGTGTGTGAGCAATGGGAAATCCCTTGCTCAAGAAGAAGAAGTAAATCAGGAATGTTCGACTGGAATTTAGATGAACTGAATTGTAATGTGCGGAATTTAACAGGCAATTGCTTAACAGATGAGTACTTGAATAGAACTAAGGCATAATACATTCCAGTCCGCCTCTCTTCCTAGCATACTCAAGTACTTATACTATTATAGAGCGTCGGTGGCGCCGTCGGATTGTCCGCACTCTACGGGCGGACACTCTGCCGGTGAAGTTTCTTACCCTTGCTTAAATGTGCCAACCACCAAGTGTATCACCTTGTGCACATGTGTTAGCATATTTTCACAAATATTTCCAAGGGTGTTAGCACTCCACTAGATACTAAATGCATATGCAATGAGTTAGAGCATTTAGTGGCACTTTGATAACCGCATTTCGATACGAGTTTCACCCCTCTTAATAGTACGGCTATCGATCATAAATGTGATCACACTCTCTAAGTGTCTTGATCACCAAAACAAAATAGCTCCTACCATTTAAACCTTTGCCTTGAGCCTTTTGTTTTTCTCTTTCTTCTTTTCAAGTCCAAGCGCTTGATCATCACCATGGCATCACCATCATCATATCATGATCTTCATTTGCTTCACCACTTGGAATGTGCTACCTATCTTATGATCACTTGATAAATTAGATTAGCACTTAGGGTTTCATCAATTCACCAAAACCAAACTAGAGCTTTCAACGGTGCATCCTTCTTGAGAAGCTCAGTCAGAGGTTGTGCAATAATTCCAAAATGCCGAACGAATTTGCAGTAATAACCCGCAAGTCCCAAGAATCTGCAAAGGGCGTGCACGGTAGTACGTCTTGGCCAATCCATGATAGTCTATACTTTGGAAGGATCTATAGCGACACCATCTGCGCTGAGCACATGCCCGAGATAGGCGACTGATCGTTGAGCAAAAGAGCACTTGGACAATTTCAATTTCCAGGAATCCCGGCAAAGCCATGACAGCACCTGAGTAAGATGATCAATGTGCTCGGCCAAAGTACGGCTGTAGATTAATATATCGTCGAAAAATACGAGGACAAATTAGCACAACCCGGGAGCCAGTGTGCAATTCATCGCCCCCTGAAAAGTACCAGGTGCGCCGGTCAATCCAAAGGCCATAACACGGAACTCATAGTGCCCCAAGTGGGTCTAGAAGGCCGTCTTGTGTTCATCTCCAGGCTGTAGCAAAATCTGGTGGAATCCGGCTCTCAGATCAAGCTTTGTGAACCAACTTGCATGAGTCAATTCGTCCAGGAGCTGATCAATGACAGGAACCGGATACTTGGACTTAACAGTCATTGAGTTCAACTTTCTGAAATCAACGCAGAACCGATAAGAAAGATCCTTCTTCTTTACTAAGAGGACTGGTGAAGAGAACATGCTGCTACTTGGTTGAATAAGCCCTTGTGACAGCATCTCATGGACTTGGCGTTCAATCTCGTCCTTAAGGGCTGGAGGATAGCGATAAGGATGGATGTAGAAGGGTCGAGAACCAGGAACGAGGGGAATGGAATGGTTGCATTGGCGAGAAGGTGGCAAGGAGTCTGGTGCTTGAAACAAGTCATCGAACTCATCAAGGAGGGACTGAATAGCAGCAGGAATATCGGCAGATGTAGAAGGGTATGTTGTGTTCTCCAGACTGCATACTTGTAACAGCAACTTACGCGGAGCCTCCACTGACTCACCTTGCAACAGAACTGAACTACCCTCATACGGAATGACCAGCCGCTTAAGTTGCCAGTGGACCTACATAGGGCTAAAGGATTCTAGCCAATCCATCCCAAGAATCATATCAAAGGCAGTCAGTGGGAGAACCCGAAGATCAGAAGTGAAACAGAGTTGCCCGATAGACCACTGAACAGCAAGCAGGGTAACTGCACTTGTAAGAGTACCACCACCAGCAATGCGAACTTGGCACGGAGATTGCTTAACAGACACCTGACTAAGCTGAGTTGCCACCGACTCGCTTATGAAAGATGTTGAATTGCTGGAATCTAGTAAAATGTGCAATGGAATGCCCCGACCTGTCCCTGAAAACTGAACGGTGCGAGGAGCAGAATTGCCAGTAAGAGCACATTGAGAAAGAGCCAAGAAAACATGAGGTTCAGTATCTGTAGGGGTAGCTGCATCTGCTGGGGAGTCATCATCTTGAAGGAGATCCCACAGTTCCTGAACAACGTGGAGCTGGACCTGAGGATTGCACTTGTGGTCCTTGCTCCATTTCGTGCCGCACTTGTAACAGAGCCCCATGGCGCATCGATATGTCTTGACGGCGGCCAACTTAGCATCAGCGGACATAGTGGCTGGGGACGTTGTTGCCGCAGTGGGGGCTGGCTGCTTGTCAGGCCGCGGTGGGAGCGGCAATGGCAACGCCGTCTTCGAAATAAATTTGGTGGACGACGTCCAATCCAGCTGGGACGGCGCGCGAGACATCGGTACCGTGGCCACCTCCTCCTGCACCAATGCCATAGAAATAGCAGCATCCAAGCTTTTTGGTTTGGAAACAAGAATAATTGCTTTAAGCTCAGGCCAGAGTCCATCAATGAATCGCATAGTATAGAAGTGTGGATCGGTAGTAGCAGAATAGGCCTTGAGCTGATCAACGAGTTTGGTAAAACGCTCAACATAATCGGTGACAGTAGAGGTTTGTGTAATTTGGAAGAGCTGGCGTATGAAGGCCTCATGTTGATCGCGATCAAAACGATCATGGAGAGATTGACAGAAAGTGGCCCATGTAGCGATGGCAGGTGTATTATCGATGGACTCATACCAGCAAGCTGTGTTGCCCTCTAGATACATGGAAGCCACGCTGACCCACAGAGATGGATCAACTGTGTTCATGTTGAAGTATTTCTCGCAATTGAAACGCCAGAGGTAGGGATTTTCACCATTGAATTTGTTGAAGGGAAGTTTAGGAAGGCGACCGGCAGGATGATGGTGAAAGGTGTTTGGGGAAGGAGCCTGGAACATAGGGGGATGGAATGGTGGATGAGGTGGAATTGTGAGCGGAAGTGGGGAACGATAATGAGGAGGAGGAGGAGGAGGACGTGGCAAGACAGAGGAAATAGGCAGAGGAGGAGGATCGAGAGGCTTACCCGTGACCAGGACATTAGTCCAGGTCATGACGGACCCAAACCCAACGTCCCGGTGAGACGATGTAGCGCCGTGCCCACTAGGCGAGTCGACGGTCACGCCAGCCGTAGCTCGTGAGGACGTCGCGGAGGGAGAAGCGCCGATGTTGAGCCATTGAGGCTAGGTGTCGAACACCTTGCAGTCGTACGCCTGTGACAGCTTCTTCACCTCATTCTTCAGATCGTCGACCAGTGCCTCAACCTCCGGGTGCCATGTTCCCAGATCTGAGGCCGCCACCTCCAAGGCGGTGATGCGGTCGGCGCGCTCCAAGTCGACGACACGCTTGTCGATGTTGGTGGCGAGGTCGGTGCAGGCTGTCTCCAGGGCGTCGAAGCGCTTGTCCACCGCGGCGGCGCTGGTGGAATGGGAACTGTCAAGGTCGGAGAAGTGGCGTGTCCATTGCTCGTTGTGCTCGTCGAACCTCCGATTGAGGTCGTCCTTGGACTTCTGAATCTCCTCGAGGATCAACTTGAGGTTGGGATCCATGGCACCTAGGGTTCAACGAAATCGGGTGAAGTGGTTGTGGTTGATTTGGTGGGGTTCCAGCTCGTCTATGGTGCACGCCTCTGATCACGACAACCTCGGCACGGACCTACGGGTTCCACAAACCACACCGAAGTGCGGACGAGGATCAACCAGTCGTCGGGAATTACGTCGCCGGGTCAAGGCGGAGCGAACAGGAAGAGCGAGCAGGATCGAGGAAGGCAAAACCCGATACCAATTGTGAGCAATGGGAAATCCCTTGCTCAGGAAGAAGAAGGAAATCAGGAATGTTCGACTGGAATTTAGATGAACTGAATTGTAATGTGCGGAATTTAACAGGTAAGTGCTTAACAGATGAATACTTGAATAGAACTAAGGCATAGTACATTCCAGTCCGCCTCTCTTCCTAGCATACTCAAGTACTTATACTACTAATATAATGCCCGTGCTAACGTAACGGATTTATCTTGGAGACGCACATGAAAACAACCAATGTAGTATAGTGCCTGTACTAACGTCATAGCTTAATTTCAGGGATGCACATAAAACAACCAAACGACGATGAGTTTTCCATTATTTAAGTTTCACGCAATTATATATGACTATGTATATAATCCGGAAAACACTTATCTCGGCTCAACCATCTAATTTACGATTTGCTAGTTGATTGCCCATGCAAATAAACATCACACAAGAGCAGAAAATAATAAACGCAATAAAATAAGCATGAAAATAAATAGTAACACGTTTTCGAAATGAATCGGTGGAGTCACCAATAATCTTTTTTTGCTTGACAAACATAATAATTTGCATATGATACATGATGAGTTAAAGTTTTCCTTTGAATAATAAGCATTTCTTGCAACTTTGAGTTTGGACAAAACAAGAGCTATTCCCTAGTTCGTTTCATCTCACAAGAGTCAAGCAGTCAGCTCTTAGATCTTTCTCTCTTGCTGTAATGCATGAATATTTCATTTGCCCCAAAACATATTTTCCTGCTTTCAACCAACCAAAAACTGAGTCCAGCAACATAGCACATATATATTTTGCCAAAAATGCTCAAAAGATGACAAGATAAATAAAATGTAACAATCAGTAGCATCTTCTTTCATATCTAGTCCATGCTACTGTAAAATTTACTAAGGTTGTATAATGCCAAGGACTGTCTTGCCAATACCTACAATGAGAAGATCATCTGGATAATGCTTGTTATCAGCCTCCAGATAGAGCCAATGGCATCATGTAGATCTTCATATTGAAAAGCTGACACCTGCAACATGAGGCATAAAAAAGTCATGATTTGATGATCCCTCCTTCTGGTTATAAACGCAGAGGACATAAATCATATGAAAAGAAGAACCCATGGGAGGGATGAGAATAACCACAGGAAAATCCAGCTGCAATTGCCAAGGACAGTAGTTCATAGTATAGTATCAGAAACAGCATGAATGTAGATAACTAAAGAAAAATAAAATAAAATCAGGCGATGTTGAAACAATCGAGTTGTACCACGATGTCGAAAACTTAATATTAACCAGGCCAATGCTTCCTTCATCAGGTTTCAGATTTATTTTTTAATTCAAAAAGCTATCGTTAACACATGTGGCGGGTACCTTATGGCGGCTGCCATTGTAATTTGTAAATGGATTAACAAAAAAAAATCCAGCCTGGCAATGCAGGGTGCTGCTGGCTGTCCTGCACCTATGGCGGCAGCGAGGCCTTGGATAGGATGTACTACGGGCTACATCTATATCAAATTAGAAATAAGATGTATTTCTATATGCTCCTTAGATCAGAGAAATCCTGACTCATTTCTACAGTTATATTACATACATGTGGCTACATCTACGGATCTACGGGCTATCAGATCAGATTAGAGAAAGTTAGGTTTAAAGAATATGGGACCTTCCAATGAAGAAGAGAAGGGAGACGACGGCGCGGGGCCAGGGGGCTAGGGGCCACGCACCGACGCCGTTGGCCGGGCTGGGCGCAGCACGTCGGCATTGCTGGGGCCGACTCACGCGATTCCTCGAGCGCCGCCTGTGGAGACCTCCGGGCCAGCGTGGACAGCAGGGACCGAGGGAGTCCGACGGCGGCCAGGCTGGGCTCGGGGAAGGAGAAGGAGGACGATGTTTTCTGGGAATCGAACGGGGTCGCGTTGGGTTCGAACGTGGCTGCGGGGTGCGGGCGTGAGGGCCTGGCTGCGGGAGGGCGATGGAGGGCAGACACACTAAACATGAGCCGTCGGATTTGGATGAGTAATGAGAGAGAATGACTAAGAGATAATCTAGTGCATCCGTTTTGATGGTGTTATATTTTTGGGTGCATTCATGGGTGTGGATGTAGCATAGGTCATGACCGTGGAGCAGGCATTTGTTGTGTGGCTGTAGATTTATTCTAACTGGTGTATCATAGGGTAGGGTAGATTATGCCTAAGCCTTCCACTCTGGGCCGGACAGCCTGACGTTGGGCCAGCGCTCACGGACGGGCTGGGCCTGCTCACTTGTAGATGCTTCATCATAGCGTATCACTGGAGCCATAGAAGAAGTGCTGACAGGGCGACGGTGCGGCTCCACGCCCGCTTTGCTTAGAGCCGGTGGTGACGGCCGCGGCCCATCCTGGCGTCCTCTGCTTTGCCCCCACAAGACGATGTAAAGGCCAGTGATGACGGCTACCAAGCTGGACGGACAGCAAAGAAACACAAAAAGGAATCAGTTCTTGGCGTCATCAGTCCCAGATGCAAAAAACGGTTTAGTCGCTCGATGAGAACGCCAAAGAACTGAAGGAACCATCAGGTATAGTGTATTCAGGTCTGTCTTTCAGAGAAGGAGAGAGCGTGCCTTCCGACGTGCAGCTGTTTCGTGGAGAATCAGCCTGTTCGGTTGGCTGGTTTATATCGTTGCTGGTTTGTGAAAAAGTACTGTGACTGGTTTGTGTGAGAGAAAAATACTGTTCCGGCTGAAAATTTACGATCGTTTACGACAAGCCACAGCCAAACGAACAGGCTGAATGGCGGCGGAGAGCGCGGTGGTGAGCACGGTGCAGAGCGGGGTGAACATGGCGGAGTAGAGAGGGCCCCTCACCGAGATGCACCACGACTGCAGGTAGAACACCACGCCCGACCCAGGGCCGTGCCCCATGCATGTGCAAGACGTGCGACTGTACGGGGCCTCAAAAATTATGGCTCTGACACTATAGGATTCGCCGCCAACGTTGCGTCTCTTCTTAGTGGCGTTACAAAATCCATCTAGCCTGTATCGGCCCGTCGCCCCATCTAAGCATCTCCATATTGCCAATCAAGCAAGCCGATGCCGAGTGACTGAATCGCCATCCGCACATGACTTAAGAGTGGAGGCTACCGAGGGTTGAATATGTACCATTCTTGATTTATCGCAATGCTATGTTCATGCTATTATCATTCTATTTATCTAGGCTAGTAAGGCCTATTTTAGAGTTTGGAACAAGACCCTGATTTTACCGGCACGGCCCTGGACCGACCCCAACACGCCCTGCACTCACGACCCGTGGAACTGACCGCGAAGACGTAGCAGGAGAGCTCGAAGAGCGAGTGGATCCTCCACGCGCTACGGTCCGGCAGCAGGAAGAGAGCCAGCACGGCGGACTGCAGGGTGGAGAGGAAGCAGGTCCAGGCCGACAGGCACAGAGGGTCCACGTACCGTTCGCAGATAGGACCCTGGAAACAAAATTACCATGCGTTGATCTGACTACTTGCTTCTTCTCTCATGTTCACTCTTTCTTGTGCTGCTAGTAAAATTCTGACGGTTGTGTAGTCTAGGCATGATGGTTGCATAGTGGATTGACCTGCAATACGAGCCACAAGGACCAGCAGGAGCTGCTGCCGACGAGGAAGAGCACACCCATCACCCAGCTGTCGCTGCTGAACTCATGCAGAAGCATGAACGGGTCACTGACAAATTCCCTCGGCAGCTTCGGACCTTTGAAGAAGGCAATGGTGATAGCTCCTCCCACGGAGACAGCCGTGCCTAAGATCTTAGCCGTGCTACTTACTTCTCTGATGTTCACTTTTTCTTGCCTGTTGATGAATGTCATGCACGGATTGACACTAACATTAGTAAATGTAGCCAATATTTTTTCCCGGCCTAGAAAAATACAGGCAGGGAAAAACGTATAGAATCCAAGGAAGTAAATGTGAGTTCCAAGCACGATTACAAAATGGAATGGTTATTCTAAGATGATAAGTTTAACAAAAGGCACAACTTCTATCTATTGAATGGCCAAAAATTATTATCTTGTACTGAATAAAAAGCAGGAATTAACTAGAAACAAAAACACTCCCTTCTCTAATTAAAAATCAGTTATCCTACTGTGCTGAAATGGTAACATGAACATGCGGTGCACTATTGGAAAAGTTTAATAATGAACTAAAAATGTGTTTTGAAAGTCCATGGGTCTAATGGTGCACCATGACGAATTCAAGGGATGGTGGTGTATTTAACTCTTTTAAGAAAGTGTGGCAAGTTGGTAATACATGCTAACCATCAATGAATTTAGCAGATTAAAAAACTAAAGTTGGTTTCCGTCATTATATATTGAATTGAGGGAAAGTTATCTGTAATGGTTGGTCGATAGTAAAATGTCATAGTAAACCGATTGACTTGCAGTCTTGCACTAGAAAAGAAAAAGTGTAATCCTCCCTAAATGATAAAATTGTTAACAATAGGATGAACATATTTACTAGCAAAATCATCCGCAATTGCTTGAATCCCTATACATTCATTGAACAAATAGCTATATACTTTATTGAGATGGGTAACTAGCCTGACTCTCCTGAAAACTGTATATAAAAGTTTATCTCATAGCCAGGTCCTAGGGCTCATGTAGAAACTCAGATTTAAATTAACCTGGGGACTTAGCTTTTGAAATGTCTATTAAAGGTCAGGGATGGTTTTTTTTTGAGACATGGGGCTTTCAAAATAAAATGTGGCTCACAAACTAGATTTTAGAAAGATACATGTGTAGGT